GATGATAATCTCCGGCTGCAAAATGAGCAGAAACGGAAAACGCTATAATTAGCAGCGATCACTTCATCACAGGTAAGGGTACACGAAAGGTTTTTATGGTGTTTTACTGAACAGCGTAGAAACCCAGCTACAAAAACAGCAGGAAAACCGTTTGATACTGTTTTCACGTGTCCTCACCGCAACTAGCTTGTAGAGCACTAATGTTTTTAGCAGTTAGCTCAGTGTTGTGAAGCTTGGTTTATGCTTGACGCATTTACTCTCCGCTTGGTGATGCGGCTCGCGGATGGAACACGCTTCACAACTCGCAGCGTTTATGGTTCATGCGGCTTGTCTCTGCGGTGAGCCAATATTCTCCCAAACTGTAGGGGGCAGCATGGAGCTCTACGGCAAGCATCCAACACTACACCATAGTAGAAGTAGAAATTATTGTTGTTTACAACATGGCATTCCAGCATTTTTAACAGCGTCCTCGTCTTTTCCGACAGTGCGAGCTATTTCTCTCCAAGAATTATTAACAACGTGTTGATCACGGTGATCTCTGAGAGCTGAATCATACAAATGTCTGTATTTACGAACCTCTGCCATACTAGTTCTTACCAGTCCGCCAAGTTTTTCCACGTCCGACCGTCCGCGTGGTTAGAACATTTCTTAGGTGCGCGGTGCGGAAATTTTGGGCCATGCGGAGGCGCCGTGGAGGGGCGTGGTTGTTAAAATGACACAATTTTGCCGCGCGGACCTCGCGGACGCGTCAAGCATAAACCAAGCTTTACATGGAACTGTGGAGCATGAGGACTAAACAGTTGGAGGACTTTGGTTTTTTTTTTTTTACTTCAAACCAAACAAGCTATGAACGGTTAAACTTTGGAGCGGTAAGGTGTCTGCTGCCTTTTGTTGTGCATCAATAACCAAATAATCACCAAGTGTTTACAATGCATTACTGGCATGTTTGCTACGTTTGTTACCATCCTGGGATTTAGCCTGAAACAACGGTGTTTGTTGTAAATGTTCGTACAATGTTACGTGTACATTTTCAATAAATGAACCTATAGTGTTTTATAGGTCCAAATAGACACAAACTCTTGGTTTTATTCATTCTACTGGTAGTTTATTTAGCTCACACTGAAATTGAGGCATGCCTCGACCTCCTTCCAATAAAGGCCTCAACCAGGATGCGCTTGAGTAAAGAAAGGCCCAGGCCTGTATTTGAGGATTTACGGTATATGTGTGTGTGTATATATATATATATATGTGTGTGTGTGTGTGTGTGTGTGTGTGTGTAATCTAAAAGGCCAGTTTTAGTTTTAGTTTCTTTTTTCCACGTTTTTTTAGAAAATCATCATCTGAGTGAAATCGAAGCAATCCTGCTCCTCAACAGGATAATCCCAACTGTCCCTTTCAGGATTTAGTTTTAGGAAATCCTCCACATAGCCTTTGTTGACCTCATGTTCATTCATTATCATCATTTTATGAATTTTCATGACCATCAGCTGCTATTAAACTCGTGTAATAAGCTGGGAAGTGGAGCTGCAGCTTAGTGAGTCCAAACACTGAGAGATTAATGACAAAGTGTTTAATTGGGGGCTTTATACCTCACAGCCGGTGGCAGGCTGCTGTTAACCAGCTGGTCACATGAGTACCCAGTTCTGTTTACAAAGCTGTTCAAGTCTCTTTCTTACCTGAGCACAGAACCTCATTGTGCCAAATAAAGTCCTGCGTGGCTGTAGCTTTAATCGGTCCAGCTGTGATGGCTGGGTTCCACACCTCAGCGGGTGGAAAAGTCTAGCACATGAGCCCCGATCCAACTGGGTCAGAACCGGGATGACTCCATCTGCTGCCACCAGAGCTCAGAGAGCAGGATGAGCTTGTGTCATGGTTGATTTATCGCTCTGATGCTAAGGCCACCTCTGTTCACAGATACTAATTTTAAAACGTCAAACATAAAAAATCAGGAACTTCAGGTTTTTTTTTTTTTTTTACTAAAAATCCAACAAGAACTTCTCCAGATTCCAAATAAACTCCCATCAGTTCCATCTGAAGCTGCCACATGAGACTTAAACATTTAAATAATAAAACAATCTTCCCTCTCCTCAGCTGCAGCCCCGATCCCGGTGGTTTCATTTGGCTTCAAAATAAAACTCATGATCAAATTTGTGTCGACCCTTCAACTCAAGCATCACCCAGCTCAGCGCTGGTCAGAAAAAACACGGGAAGGTCCCGAAAATTCTGCTTCTAACACATTTTCTGTTCCTCCTGAATTCTGGAACAAAATATGTCGAAACTTTATGTTTATAAAATGCAATGTGACATGCAAAAATACATAAAAGGATTCTGTCTGGATGTTAGGATGATTTGTTCCTAGAAAAAAATAAGTTACTCCAACTTTAGAAATATTGCTGGAACTGGTGGATCTTTGCTAACGCTCTCAAGAAAACTCAGATTGAAGCCACGAGTAAAGAGATTTTTAGAGACAAAGTTTACTAACATTTTAAATTGATGCCTAATGAGATGATGTCTGTGTGGAAAAAAAGCTCTGGTGCACCAGTTTCAGGAGGTAGAAGTTAGCAGGAGCAGAGGGGAGTCTTAAGCTTGGTTTATGCTTGACGCGTCCACGAGGTTTGCACGGCAAAATTGCATCATTTTAACAACCACGCCCCTCCACCGCGCCTCCGTATGGCCCAAACATTCTGCACCGCTCACCTAGGAAATTTTCTAACCACGCAGATGGTCAGACATGGAAAAACATGGCAGACTGGTAAGAACTAGTATGGCAGAGGTTGGTAAATACAGGCATTTGTATGATTCAGCTCTCAGAGGTCACCGTGATCAACATGTTGTTAATAATTCTTGGAGAGAAATAGCTCGCACTGCCGGAAAAGACGAGGACGCTGTTAAAAATGCTGGAATGCCATGTTGTAAACAGTAATTTCTACTTCTACTATGGTGTAGTGTTGGATGCATGCAGTAGAGCTCCATGCTGCCCCCTACAGTTTGGGAGAATATTGGCTCACCGCAGAGACGAGCCGCATGAACCATAAACGCTGCGAGTTGTGAAGCGTGTTCCATCCGCGAGCCGCATCACCAAGCGGAAAGTGAATGTGTCACGCATAAACCAAGCTTAACTCATCATTTAGGGCAGCAGTAGCTCAAACAGGCTGAGCGGGTGGTCCAGTAATCGGAAGGTTGCAAGTTCGATCCCGGCCCCGGACAGAAAATTCTGCTGTTGTGTCCTTGGGCAAGGCACTTAACCCACCTTGCCTGCTGGTGGTGGTCGGGGGGACCGGTGGCGCCCGTGCTCGGCCACCAGCGTGTGAATGTGTGTGTGAATGGATGAATGATACACTGTAGTGTAAAGGGCTTTGGAGTCCTTACTCTGAGAGGCGCTATACAAGTGTGGGTCATTTATCATGCCTGATATTGGCCTTGGAGGTCAAACAGAGTTGTTACTGAATTCTCAAACATTCCCAACCAACCAATCAAGGCCTCAGCTATGAACTTGTATCTGATCAAAACGCATGCTCATTTCTGCAGCATGATGACCAGAAACCAGAAACCAAATGAGTCAGAAAAGTGAACGAGTGCACAGCGAGGTTGTGGTCGTTTTGAAGCAGACACTTTCAGCAGCAGGAGCTTTCATGCCTCCAGGCTCTGTTCAGAGTTAAAGTTAGCCCAGAGGAGAGCACCTTCCTGCAGGTTCACCCTCCCTGCTCCGGTCCTCCTCCTTTCATCTCAGTCAGTAGGCTTTTCTTCAGAATCCCTGTAGATCATCTCACAGCCGCCACCTCCTCCGCTGACAGGAGGGGCTTGTTGTCAGGTCAGACACCCACCTGCAGGTAGCTGGTCTTGGATCTGCTGCAGGGTTCCTGGTGTGTGTGTGTGTGTGTGTGTGTGTGTGTGTGTGTGTGTGTGATCATCTGGTTAGGTGGTTGCTAATGTAAACACTTCAGTGAGACGAGTTTTAACACATATCTCTTTTTATCTAGCTGCATGGTGGCGCAGTGGTTAGCACTGTTGCCTCGCAGAACGAAGGTTGCAGGTTCGAAACTCGGCTGCGGCCTTTCTGCATCGAGTTGCGTGTTCTCGCCATGCATGCGTGGGTTTCCTCCGGGTACTCCGGTTTCCCCCACACATCACAACATGCCCTATAGGTTATAAATTGTAAGTCGCTTTGGATAAAAGCGTCTGCTAAATTAATAAACATAAATAAACATAAACATTTATGTTTGCTTATTATTGATTAATTATTAAATTATTAATAATAAACTATAGTGTCTTAAAATATTTCGGTTGGTAAAACCAAAGCTGCTTCAGGTCTTCCCTCTGGTCTTACAGGTGTGCACCCACTCAGCCTCCACCTGTTGCACCTGTTGACCTCTCTGGGATGATGCAACCTTGCAGCAAGCAGATAAACCAGGTTATCACGCTCAGGTGGAAAAAACACACAGGATGAGCAGATGAGGGGCAGAAGATAAAGCTGGGATTTAGGAGGAATATCGGGCAAAGGATGAAATATGGGCGTGTTTCAGCTGGACGGTAGAGGGTGAAGACCAGAGGAAGAGGATGGAGAAGAAACAACACAGGAATGGCAGAGGAGCAGAATAAAGTCAAAACATGTGACCGATGTCAGCTGACCTGAGTTTGATCAGGGTGAGAAAACTAAAGAGCAGATCAGTACTGGCACCTAGTGGAGGGAAAGCTAACAGCAGTCCTTCGCAGGAGCTGTGACGACCACCATTTCTCAGCCGGAAGTGAAAAAAAAGTTGCTGCGTTCCACTTCTGCAGCGGCTCGTGCTCTAAATGGAATGCAGCTCTCGTTAAAACACCTCCATGTCAGCCAAAGTGTGAGTGGCAAAGATCCAGCCTGCTTAAAGTTTCTTATTCTTTGGTCTTTCACAACTCAGGCCAAGAACCCCGGGAGACAAAACGATGGAGCGCCCTCATTTCTGCAGCTGGAAGGGAAGGAGGGTTTCCTTCAACGACGGAATGGATTTGTGTCAATAAAGTAAATAAAAAAACGTCCTTTATTTTTTAAGTAGGTCATTCAGATTTACTCAGCGCAAATAACCCCCACATGCTTTCAGAAAACATGCTAATATGAGAAATATCCTGTCCTCTCTGTGCTTTTTGCATCCCACTCATTTAAAACAGTTATTCAACGGATGTTTTTAAGCTCACATTGAAATGTTCCAGCTAAATAAGTGTCAATTATAGTTTGTGAATAAATTCATGTTTTAACCAAAACACATGAAAGGCAATCATTTTAAAAAAGTGAGATTTTTCTCCAGTTAAGCACATAAAAGTACTACAGAGGACATGTTGTGGTAAAACAGCTCAAAATGATGTTGCAGCGTGTGTGTGTGCGTGTGTGCGTGCATTCGCGTGTGTGTGTGTGAATCGTTGCTGAAGCAGATCCATGCTCAGACACATCCTAACACACGTGGTCTCCAGACAAGAGCCCGATCTCCCTCAGCGCCTTGTTCACCGCCGTCAGGAGCCGTTTGCTGTAGTTCAGCAGCCGGCCGTCGTAGATCAGATCTCCTGGTTTCAGAAGGGTTTGCTGCTGAGATCTGCACACAGAACCAGATTCATTTAGTCTGAATCATTTTCACTGATTCACCTGAAAGGATTCTTTAATTTTATACAAACGCATTAAAGTTGTAAAGTGCAGCTGTTCAGAAAAGGAATTTTAGCTATTTTCATGAACCGGTTGTTGAAAACATGATAAACTCCACTTGATCGTTATTGGAAGAAAATAATTAATAGAAACAACACAGAAGACTCAGCCAGATGCTTTAAACACTGAATAGGAGCTTCTTAGGTGTGTTCTTGCTGTGTCTTTGTAAATCCATGCTTTCGTTCTTTTTTAAACACAGAAACAGTTTTGTTTACCTGTTTGTAGCTACGGTTTCGCCGACAGCTGCCGGCTTCTTCAGGCTGACGCTGATGGTGGCGCGTCACTTCCTTCTCCGTTTATCTGCGGGTAGCAGAGGACGTTGTCGCCCTCTACTGCCCGCTCTCCCCTCTCCGACGATGCGGTCCCATGCGTGGTCCAGCGTGTAAACTCCGTCGTCCCTGTTCATGGTCCCACATCCACGTCTCCTTATCTCGATTGCTTCCTTGATCCATCTTTTGTATTTTTGTTGTTCGGTGGTTATGATCCGTGTGTTGTCCCAGTCCATTATATGGTTTTCTCTTAAGCAATGATCTGTTACGGCTGACTTTTTTATTGTACTTTCTGCTTCTTCTTTTGCTGCTCTTGTGTGTTTACGATTTGCCTCTTTCTCGCACTCCTTTCTGTGTTCTATTGTCCGTGTATTGAGTTGGCGTCCGGTTTCTCCTATGTATGTTTTATTGCATATTTTGCATGGGATTTCGTAGATGACTCCACATTTTTGTCCAGCTGATATTTTGTCTTTTGGGTGTACTAATCTGTTTCTAACTGTTGTGTATGGCTTTGTTGGTGTGTTTATGTTGTGTGTCGTAAACACACAAGAGCAGCAAAAGAAGAAGCAGAAAGTACAATAAAAAAGTCAGCCGTAACAGATCATTGCTTAAGAGAAAACCATATGATGGACTGGGACAGCACACGGATCATAACCACCGAACAACAAAAATACAAAAGATGGATCAAGGAAGCAATCGAGATAAGGAGACGTGGATGTGGGACCATGAACAGGGACGACGGAGTTTACACGCTGGACCACGCATGGGACTGCATCGTCGGAGAGGGGAGAGCGGGCAGTAGAGGGCGACAACGTCCTCTGCTGCCCGCAGATAAACGGAGAAGGAAGTGACGCGCCACCATCAGCGTCAGCCTGAAGAAGCCGGCAGCTGTCGGCGAAACCGTAGCTACAAACAGGTAAACAAAACTGTTTCTGTGTTTAAAAAAGAACGAAAGCCTGAATAGGAGCTGTTCTGGTTTTGTAAATACAGAAATAACTTAAATAAGCGCTGTAAAGGCAACTATTTCATTCTTCCCCTCTAACTTGGACTTTCATATTTTACAACTGATATATTTCAGATCCGGCTGCGCAGTGGTGCAGTGGTTAGAGCTGTTGCCTTGCAGCAGGAAGGTCCTGGGTTCGTTTCCCAGCCTGGGATCTTTCTGCATGGAGTTAGCATGTTCTCCCTGTGCATGCGTGGGTTCTCTCCGGGTTCTCCGGCTTCCTCCCACAGTCCAAAAACATGACTGTTAGGTTAATTGGTCCGTCTAAATTGTCCTTAGGTGTGTGTGTGTGTGTGTGTGTGTGTGTGTGTGTGTGTGTGTGTGTGTGTGTGTGTGTGTGTGTGTGTGTGTATGTTGCCCTGTGATGGACTGGCTCTCTGTCCAGGGTGTACCCCGCCTGATTGCCCGTTGACCACTGGAGATAGGCACCGGCCCCCCCGCGACCCTACACGGACAAGCGGGTTCAGACAATGGACGGATGTTTCAGATCCTTATTTATGGTCGTCTTCTACATTATTTTCCTTAATTAGTCTCCATCTCACTTTTCCAGATATTTTCTAAAAATAACTATTTTGTTCCCTGCTTTTGTACCTCCCAACGTTGTTGGACTCAAATGCAGGGGACGCCTCAGGCGGCATGAACCCAAAAAGATAACTTTAATAAAGAATCTGAAGGAAAACATAACTCTTATTGTGAAGGACAGTTATTATCATGGAGGAACAGGAGAATCCTTTCCAGGAGACTGGATTACTGTAATTCATTACTCTCAGGACATCCACATGGTCACTACAGTGGACAGGTACTCAAAATTGTTTGTTTTTAGTTTATTTATTTATTTATTTATTTATTTATTTATTTATTACTGTTAAGCACAGCTGTTGAAGACTTTGTTGCATGTGAGCCCCTCCATTTGGACTTCAGGAAGTCAAGCCAACATATTTCATGTTCAGAACGCGCGCTGCCCACTCAGGTAGACATGTAATAAATTATTTGTAAATTAAATGTTACAAAAATATGTAAATATGACATTTTTTCATTCACACCTAAAGATGAATGAAAAAAATTGTTAAGAAAAATCATGGTTGAAGATTTCCTAATTCATGCATCAAAGGGTTAAAAGTCTTCAGAAAGGTCCAAGCGGGACCTCTACACCTCCTGATCTAACGGGGACTTCCGCCGAGGGTACGTAGACCGACAGATGGCGTCTCAGTGTGTGTTATAAATCTCCAAACCAAAGCTTAGCACCAAACATCATCTTCACTCCCATCAGAACTAATCGTTTCTCCGGATCTGCTGGTTCTGAACATTTCACACATACACCATCTTCAGTCCTACTTCACCTTAGTTACACCATACGTTCAGTGTTTAAAGTTAGCCTAGTTTTATGTTTATTTATTTAGCAGACGCTTTTATCCAAAGCGACGTACAGTTTATAACCTATAGGACGTGTTGTGGTGTGTGGAGGAAACCCACGCATGCATGGGGAGAACGCGCAACTCCACGCAGAAAGGCCGCAGCCGAGTTTCGAACCTGCAACCTAGTTTATCCATTTAATTATAGATCCACTAGGATAAATTCAATAAAGTTTATCTCTCACCAAATAGAATATTTATTAAGACATCACAATATAACTATAGACACATTACTAGTCTTTGTGTGTGTGTGTGTGTGTGTGTGTGTGTGTGTGTGTGTGTGTGTGTGTGTGTGTGTGTGTGTGTGTGTGTGTGTGTGTGTGTGTGTGTTCTGTCTTCTCCATCCCCAGTGAGTCGTGGAGGAAGGCTGCTTATACTGAGCCAGGATTCTCTGGAGGTTTCTTCCTGTTAAAAGGGAGTTTTCCTCTCCACTGTCGCTGCATGCTTGCTTAGTATGAGGACTGCTGTATAGTCACTGACACTAGTCAGTGACTTGATGCAATTTGCTGGGTTCCTCATATAGGAAACATGATTTCTGATTGGCTTAATGAACTGACCTGAATTGGAATGTTTATTATGTGAAGTGCCTTGAGACGACTCTTGTCGTGATTTGGCGCTTTATAAATAAACTTGAATTGAACTGAATTGAACCTCCGTGCTGCGAGGCAACGGTGCTAACCACTGCACCACCATGCAGCCCAAAAGCTTAGTTTTAATTTGTTTAGTAATAAATCTTTACACTTTTTAAACTTGACTCTCTTCCTTTTGTCTCTGAGTGAATTCAAAGTGGTTAGATAATCCCATTCATAACATAATTCCCAGAAATAGATTTCATATTTCCTATGGAATCTCACATTTTATGGTTCATTAAATAATATGTACATTTAATCGTTACAGTGTTTACCTCATTTGCTATTGCAGCTTTAAGGCTTTTGGTTCCTGTGAGTTATTAGTCTTGAAGTTCCACATTCATCATCACACACACACACCGGTGAAATTCCTCTCTGCTGTGGCGGTGCTCAGTAACTATTTAGTGGTTTAACCCCCCAACCCAACCCCTAAAGCTGAGTGACAAGCAGGGAGGTGTCGGGCCTCATTTTTAAGGTTTTTGGTATGACCCGACGGGGATTTGAACCCCGATCTCCGAGTCCCAGTGCGGACACTTCACCACTAGGCTCCCGCGAAGGTCTTATTCCAGATATTTAAAAAAATTCTGATTTAAGTAAACTTGTTGTTAGTTACCATCCCACTGACTTCTCATAACATATTTAGACAAAACCATGTAGCCTCGAACCTGGTGTGGTACATCCGTGCGATGGTCCTGTTCACCCAAACGCAGCCGTTGGTGGACTTCAGTACGCCGTGAACGCTCGTGGTAAACACGGCTTGTGGGTTAACGATGATCTTAAAGCTTTTCCCAACGTTCCTGAGATTAACAGGCTCCTGGTACAGGTGCTCCAGGATGTTGACCCCAGTTACACTCTTCCAGCAGCCTTGTGCGGGGGGCTTCGTTTCGGGCATCGAAGGAGGCAGCACGATGTTGTTGGGGAACACGTTGTTCTCAAACTGGTAACACTTGTCAACTCCGAAGTTCTTCTCCAGTAGAGGCAGCAGATCCACCCAGCTGGGGAGAGAGTTATTCAAAACATAAATTTTACACCAGGCACAAGACGTCTTTTTGTTTAAAACAGAATGTGCCACTACTAGTTCACCTGCTGAATCAATTATTCATCCACTCAAAGACAAGTTTATCTCTTACTCTGGAGGTTTCTTCCTGCTAAAAGGAAGTTTTCCTCTCCATCGTCGCTACATGCTCACACACACTGACACAACAAGTCAGTGACTCGATGCACCCTGCTGGGCTCCTTATATGGGAATCTTTTTCCTGACTGGCTTAATGAACTGACCTGTATTGGAATGTGCCTTGAGACGACTCTTGTTGTTATTTGGTGCTTTATAAATAAACTGAATTGAAATGAATATTAATTAACTGTTGAAGTTGTGTGTGCGTGCGTGCTCTGGTGACTTTCTGTAAAAACGTAAGAAGGTGGTACCTATCCACTGACTGGGGCAGTATGAGCTCATCGATGTCATGCATGGCCACATATTTGGCCTGGTACATGTGTCTGTAGAGGCAGTCGTTGAGAGCAGGAATCTGACCAAAGTAGTGGAGAACACCAGGGTTGTGTTCAGGTGACCAATAATCAGAAACACTCAGAAATTCAGACAGAGACCAAGGAACCTCCTCAACAAAGCCTGCGGAAACAAAAAGAGTTGTTTGGTCATCTGTTTTAACAAAGTCCTGGCTCCTGTAAGAAACATCTGGATCATCACCCCTGTTTAACAAGTCAACATAGGCAGTTCTAACAGACCAATAAACCCGAGACGTCTTGGGATTTGCTTCAGTCTGACATTTTGTGAAGTCGTGCCAAATGTTCCCCAAAGGTGTTAGTGTTAGTAGAAATGAAAATATAAGAACAAACAAACCCAACCTGTCTGTGCGTAGTAGTTAAGTGCACGCTGTGTCTCCATACTGCAGTTGGTTTTGTACACAACAACTCTGTTTACGCCCAGGATTTTGAACATTTCCAGACTCTGCACCAGCTGCAATAAAACACGAGGATTTAAACAAGATCGGGATCATCTGTAAACTCATTTCTGCCTTTTTTATCTCTACATTTTAAAACATATTTAGACCCAAAAAAAGTAAACTCATTAGGAACAGTTTTTAAAAATTATTATTATTATTGTTGTTGTTGTTAGGGATGCGCCGATGGATCGGCATTCGATCCCAATCGACCGATAGCGCCCCTATCGGTTTTGATCGGAGTTTTTTTGATCGGAGCAGACCGATCAGGTAGGGTTGTCATGGTAACCGGTGTAGCGGTAAACCCCGGTAAAAAAAAAAGTTGACAATAATAATAACCGTCTTGTTTTTAAAAAAAACTATACTATCTCGGTGGGTTTACCGTGGCTGCGGTGTAGGCGCGGTGACCCTTACCAGCCACCGTATCAACTGCTGAAGTTGCCGACGGCACATTCAATTCAATTCAATTCAATTCAAAAATACTTTATTAATCCCAGAGGGAAACTGATCGCTGTAGCAGCTCAGAATAATAATAATAATCAGGTCATCAAAGAGGTGTTGTATATTACAACGGCTGTTGGCAGGAAGGATCTCCAGTAGCGGTCAGTGTTGCAGCCAAACTGAAGAAGCCTCTGACTGAAGACACTCTTCCGTTGTCGGACAGTCTTGTGAAGAGAATGCTCAGGGTTGTCCATCATGTTCTTGATTCTCTGGAGAATCCTTCTTTGCATTATCTCCTCCAGTGGTTCCACAGTCGTCCCCAGAACAGAACCAGCCTTTGTTATTAGGCTGTTGAGCCTTTTCAGGTCCCTGCTTCTGATGCTGCTACCCCAACAGACGATGGCTGAAGAGATTACACTCTCAACAACAGACTTGTAGAAGATCTGCAGCATCTTGCTACAGACACTGAAGGACCTAAGCGTCCTCAAGAAGTGCAGTCTGCTGTGTCCCTTCTTGTAAACGGCTTCGCTGTTCTTTCTCCAGTCCAGTTTGTTGTCCAGGTGAACTCCAAGGTATTTGTATTCCTCAACCACCTCCACTTCTTCTCCCATGATGGAAACAGTGTTTGACTCCACCCTGTTTCTTCTGAAGTCTAAAATCATCTCCTTTGTTTTGTTCACGTTCAAGGTCAGATGATTGTTTCCACACCATGCCACAAAGCGCTCCACCAGCTCTCTGTACTCAGCTTCCTGTCCATCTCTGATACACCCGACAACTGCAGAGTCATCTGAGTATTTCTGTAGATGACAGGTCTCTGATTTGTCCTGGAAGTCTGAGGTGTACAGGGTGAAAAGGAATGGTGAGAGCCCCTTAGATAAATATTATTACTACTAGCAAAACTTAAAGCGAGCTCTAAGGCTGAAAGGAAAACTGAAATTCAAGCACTAGAGCAGACAAAAAATGGATCACTAAACGAAAACGGCTAATAATTACTCGATGGTTAAACGAAAACAACTATCTATCCTAATTATCACAATCATCAAAGTTCTTCTCCAATTCGAAACCGTAAGTCCACCAAGATCCACACCGAGGAGAGAAAGACAGGGTGTTAAGCTGT